CCTTACTTGTGATTTAAACTAGCTTGAGCAAACAGGCCTGTCATTCATTAGTTTACACCAAAGATCATTCTACACAAAACATTTCAAGAGTTTAATAATTTTACTGAAGAGCTAAGAGGTCTTGAAGTATGAGGCAGTTTCTCAAACGTCTTGCTAACTCCACATGCTAATCTTCTCCTCATTTCACATGACCTGGGCCACTCCATCAAATGCAGAATTCCTAAGATGAATGCCTATGCCAGCCATCAATACAGTTAATTTTTCACTCTGCTACATATATTGTGCTTTGATGTAAAATATATAATATTTTACATAAAGGAAATATTCATGCTCTACATTTATAATGTTAAAATAATGTTGTTTCCCACATTCCTATGATTTCAATCTCCAGGAAGTCAATATCACCATCCATATTGAGAAAATCTGTTGTCATGCTGTGAGGAATCAGAGCTTTAAAACTATTCTTCTGGGCTTCAACAGATTCCTAAAATCCAGTAGGGTCGTAGCAGCTTGACAGAATAGAATCTAAAGCTATTACATGAGAAATTAGGAGACTGGGTCCTGTATTTTTGCTTTAACACTAAGAACAATTACTGTAAGAAATTAGAAGAGTCTGTTCTGTTTTGATTCCCATATGCCTCTTCTATAGAATGGAGTTGGGCGGGATAATCTTTAAGGTCCAAAAAAGTTCTGAAATTTGAGGGCAAAAATGCTTATAATCAGCCATTGTTTTAACAGAGATGGGGACTATAAGAAAAGGAAGATGGAAACAGGAGGAGAGAGTGGTAGAGAAGCAGAGAGGCAGGTAAAGAGAGGCAAAGAAGGAAGGAAAGAAATAATGAGGGGAGGTGAGGAACATCTAACCTAGCCCCACAAACGGTTATAACCTAATAGCAGGTAGTACCAAAGGGAAAATGTAACTACCTCACATTCCACATTTGGCTGTGGGTAGGCAGTTCTGTCTTGTTTTTAAAGGAGCAGCAAAAGGTCAATCCCCCTGGGAGAACTGGATACTCTCACTTTCACTTGTGTGCCATATTGCGTGATGTTTCCTCAGCGTGAAGACACTCGTTCATATCAACACATTCCCCGCTCTTTCACTGTGCCTGGCTTATCCTTAACTACCCTTCTAAGCTTGGCACAGGAAGCACTACCTCTGTGGAGGAACTTTCACCTCTGTGCTCTCTGCTCCAATTCATACATGTTTTATGTTGTGTGCTTTTTCTGTGTGTTCTTATACTTTCTGTTATCTTCCACCTGTATCTTTATATACAGGTATATTTATTTATTCATTTTATAAGATGTTAAATCAGCTGAGATTACAAGGTAGATATTATGAAAGAAAGCGTTGTTGTAGATAATAGGGTCGAAGATAGTTGCTTTCAAGAACTGAATAGTCTATCAGGAAATAAATTAAAGGGAAATATAAACGCTATAAGATATGTACACAATTCCACGGGAGCAAAGAGGAGAGGTATGTAAATAGACATAAGGAGTTAGAGATGGCTTTCCAGAGAAGTCTCCTAAGTTCAGACCCAAAGAATAAGAATTATCTAGCAAAAGAGAAAGTACAAACGGGCATGCCAAGCAGAAGGCACAGCATAGGAAAAGAAGAGAGGCATGGCATAGCTTGGGCTGTGAGAAGTCATTGTGGCCACAGGAGAGGGCTTTCCTGGCAAAGGTAGTCCAGGGATGTTCATATGGTCATGTGCACCGAGTTCAAGTGCCTCCTAAAAATTATGGAAGCCACGGAGAGGTTTAAAGTAGGGGTTTGACATGATAATTCACATATGGATGCCACAAAAATGCCTTTGGTTTTCTTTTGAACTGTCGACTTAAAAAATTCATATTGAATTAAATTCATATATTTCTTCTTACCTATTAGACAATGAATTTCTTTGAAAGCAGTGACAATGTTTTATTGGTATCTCTTCACTTAGCAAAGCTGCTACACATGGCAGATAGGCATAAATATCTGCTGAATGAATAAATAAATGAATAAAAACATGAATAGGGGAAGTTGAATGGAAAGGAAAGTGAGTTTGTTAAGTGATATTCAGAAATGCTATTAAACCGCAAATTGAAAGAAAAAGGCTGATACTTCGGTGTCTCTAAAAGCTAAACTGATGCCTCCTAACTCTGAAGCTGCAGTGGCTTGAGACATGGAGCTATTTTTCAATGTTTTAAATCTCAAAAGTAAAAATACTTTTATAATATCATGAATAGAAATTATGAAATTTAGAGGAGACGAACAGGAATTGATAAAAGGTATTTTCTTCCTAAAACTAATATAATACGTAAGTGCTAATATGTAACCAGTATTTAATCAGCAAACTATGATGTTAATAACATGATTTTCACCCTATTCAAGTCTATTTCATTTTACTTCAATCCTTTTTTATTGACATATAATTGCATACAATATCCTTTTAGTTTCATGTATACACCATAGTGATTCAATATTTATATACATTATGAAATGATCTTCACAGTAAGTCTAGTTACCATCTGTCACCATAAAGTTATTACAATATTATTGGCTATATTCTCTATACTGTACATTACATTCCCATGAGTTATTTATTTTATAACTGGAAGTTTGTAACTCTTAATGCCCTTCACCTATTTCTTCCTTCCCCCTCGATCTCTCCCCCCAATCTTCCCCGCCGGTAACCACCAGTTTGTTTCCTATATCTAGGAGTCTGCTTCTGTCTTGTTTTGTTTGGTCATTTGTTTTGTTTCTTTTTGGATTCCACATATAAATGAAATCTTATGGTATTTGTATTTGTCTGACTTATTTCACTTAGCATAATACCCTCTAGGTTCATCCATGTTGTCTCAAATGGCAAGATTTCATTCTTTTCTATGGCAGAGTAGTATTCCATGACATATATGTACCACATCTTCTTTATCTATCCATCTATAAATAAACACTTAGGTTGCTTCCATGTCTTGGCTATTGTAAACAATGCTGAAATGAATATAGGGGTGCATATATCTCTTTGAATTAGTGTTTTTGTTTTCTTCAAATAAATACCCAGAAATGATATTGCTGGATTATATGGTAGTTCTATTTTTAATTTTTTGAGGAATAACATAATTATTAATTAAGGGAAAAAAATCCTTGGCTAGGTCAGGGACATTCTTGAGATAAATATCTATGTCTACATTTTACATACCATTTAAATTTCTAGATTTTAAACCAACTATACCACCCATCCTGTGCCACTAATGTGAGAGTGTCTAGGATTAAGTAGTAACCAGCTTCCATATTTAAAATTTTATTCGTATTTTGGGAAGAGGAAATACATGTGAAAATATTAAGTGGAAAGCTGCTGTAAACTCTTTTAATTAATGATGTCAATGGGAAATCTAGTTATTCAAGACCATAAATCACTAAGATTGAGCCACATATTTAGTGTCATAAGGTAAACTACAGGCCTATTTCTTAGAGAATAAACAGATTCAAGGTAACCAGTCTTGCAAGTTCACACTTAAAAAATACAACAAATTTTATATATAGTTTTAATATTTATTACAGGGACCTTGAAATGCTTTATGGATGGATTAATCCTCATAACCTCTATGGGGAAGATGGCAAGTATTGTCTTCGTCTTATAGAGTGAAAAATTGAGTCATCTCAAGGTATTGGCTTGTCTCCAGTTAGCAAAATGGAACATGAAGGTTAAGACAAAAAGCACCTTAAATCTGCTGCCTCTTGGTTTAGAGCTTCAGTCACTAAAGTTTGGCAGCCATCTTGATTATAAAATTATAAAATTTATTCCCTCTTGAAATTTATTCTTGGCACATGTTTACCTATCAGTAAATTTCAAAATGTATGCTGCTCAGGCAAGAAACACTTTTTCTCTTAGGATTTTCCCCAGTTGAATTTGAAAATGCTGATAGTAAAAAACAACTTTGCTGCTTCATTTTTGAAAAATTAAATGAGTTTATCATTTAACAAAGCCTACATTTTAAAAACCTACTCTTCAAGCTAATATTTTTGTTTTTTAAAAATTAATTACTTTTATTATAATATCTAATAAATATGTCATGCATTCATATAAAGCTATAAATATGATATATATATGGTGTAAAGATATATGCATGATGCAAAAATATTGTAAAACAAACAGCCATGTACCCACATTCCAGCTTAGGAAATACATTATAAGTAACTTTGAAGCTCTCTTTCTTCATCCTCAAGGTTAAACACTGCATGGTATATTTATCATTTCTTTAATTTTCTGTATAGCCTTGCTATGTCTAAACATATCTCTGAAACAGAAACAGCATATTGTTGAGTTTTGTTTGTTTTTGAACTCTATATAAATGGAATTATACTGTATAAATATTTTTGTGATTTATTTCTTATGTCATTTTAACTCTATGCTTAATTTCATTATGTATATACCATAATTTATTTTTTCATTATTGTGTTCATTTTCATTTCTATTATTATTATTATTAATTATGATGATGATGATGCCATTATAGACAAGAATGCTATGGAAATTTCTGGAAGTAATTCTTAGCTTGGGTTCCCCCAAGAGCACACTTGGTCTACTTGTATGATAGTTTATTTGGAAAGTGATCTTAGGGAGCAAGAGTAAGGAACCAGGAATGTGAAACAGAGGAGAGGAATCCAATAGAGGATGCTGTCTATAATAGACTGAATGTTTTATGTCCCCCAATCCATATGTTGAAGCCCTACCCCCCAGTGTGACTGTATTTGAAATGGAGCCTCTAAGGAAGTAATTAAGGTTAAATAAGGTCATTAGAGTGGAGTCCTGATACAATAGGATTTAGTGTCCCTATGAGAAGAAATACCAGAGAGCTTCTTTCTCTCTCTCCCCACTTGTGAAGACACGTCAAGAAGATGGCTCTTTAGGAACCAGGAAGAGAACTCTCACCAGGAACCAAATATGCCAGCACATTGCTCTGTGACTTCTAGCTTCCAGAACTGTGAGAGAAGAAATTTTTGTTATTTGAGTCACCTACTGTGGTATTGTGTTATGGCAGTCTGAACAGGCTAAGACATCATCCATTGCGGTGAGCAAAGGTTTGTTTTTATCTATGATTTTTGTATCTTTAGGTCTTACATTTAGATATTTTCTCCATTTTGAGTTAATGTTTGTATGTGTTGTAAGGTATGGGTCCAACTTCATTGTTTTGCATGCGTATATCCAGCATCATTTGTTGAAACACTATTCTTTTGTCATTGAATTGTTGTGCCACCCTTGTCGAAAGTCAATTGACTGAACTGTAAGAATTTATTTGTAGAGTCTCATTCTATTCCACTGATCTATTTCTATCCTTTTGCCAGTACCATACTGTCTAGATTACTGCAGCTTTATAGTAAGTTTTGAAATTGGGAAGTCTGAGTCTTAGTTTTTATTCATCCTTTTCAAGGTTGTTTTGGCTATTCTGGATCCCTTGCATTTCCATGAATTTTAGGATCAGCTTGTCGATTTCTGTAAGAAAGCTATTTGGGACTTTGATAGGGATTGCATTAAATCTTTAGATTATTTGAGAGGAGTATTGCCATGTTAACAATAGTAAGTTTAGTAAGTTTTCCATCCTTAAGCAAGGTGTCTTTCAATTTATTTAGGTCTTTTTTTATTTCTTTCAACGATGTTAGTTATTTTCACTATAGTGAAAACGATGTTAGTTATTTTCACTATAGTTTTTACATTTCTTTTCTTAAATTTATTCCTAAATTTATTCCTAAATTAATTCTTTCGATGATATTGAAATGGAATTTTTCTTAATTTTATTTTTTTAAACGACATCCTCTGATTTTGTATGAGGATATTCCTAACCTCATTGAATGTATTGTGAAATGCTACCTTCTCTTCGATTTTTTTGGATGCGTTTGTTAATGATTGTCATTAATTCTTATTTAAACATTTAGTGGAATGGGAATTGTGACTAGATCATGTCTCTGCATGTTCTATCCATTGTAGAAAGCGGGGTGTTGAAGTTTGCATTATTATTGTTGAATTTCCTATTTATCTCTTCAATTCTGTATTAGGTCTCTTTTGTTCCTTGTTTCTTCTAATAGTGTCTTCTTTTGTTCCTCGTTTCTTCTATTAGTGTCTTCTTTTGTGTTATATAGATATTTTCTAATATAACTATTTTCATTGCTTTGTCATATATATATATATGAGAAAGTGCAGATTACAATTATCACCTTAATTTATAACAATTTAGTTTAGATTAATATGCATTTAATTTCAATACTGTATAAAAACTGTCCTCTCATATTGCTCCATTTGTTCTTCCCTCCCTTGTGTTATTATTTTCATTGAAATCACATCATTATACATTATAAGTCCATCAACACAGTTTCATAATTATTGTTTATGTAGTTTTTTAAGTATGATGAGAGACAAAAAAAAGAAAAAACCCAAATACATTGATATTGTCTTTTATATTTACTTAAATAGTTACTTTTATCAGTGCTCTTTCTTTCTTTGTGTGGATTAGAGTTAGTCTAATGTTTGTTTGTTTGTTTGTTTTCAGTCTGAAGGTATTTCTTGTAAGGATAGTCTGCTAGCAACAAATTCTTTTATTTTTTGCTTTCCTGGGAATGCCTTAATTTCTCCTTTGGCTTTTGAGTATTTGTTTTGCTGAATCTATAACCCATTTCATAGTCTTTTTTCTTCCAGCACTTTAAATATTATGAAGGTTTGTGGCTTCATAATTTCTGATGAGAAGTTAGCTGTTGATCTTACCAAGGATCCCTTGTACGTGATGAGTTGTTTCTCTGATGCTGCTTTTTAAGATTCTCTCTTTGTCTTTTGATAATTTGAGTATGATGTGTCTAGGTATAGATCTCTGAGTTTATCCTACTTTGAGCTTTTGAGATTCTTATATTTGTAGGTTAATGTTTTTTTCAAATTTGGGATGTTTTCAGCCATTATTTCTTCAGATATTTTTTTCTGCCTGTTTCTCTCTGTCTTATCCTTCTGGGCATTCATTATGCATGTGCTGGCATGCTTGATGGTGTCCAACAGTTATGCGAGTCTTTATCATTTTAAAAATTGTTTTCACTTTCTGTTCCTCAGACTGGATAATCTCAATGGACGTATTTTTAAGTTTGCTAATTATCTCAAATCTGCTCTTGAGACCATCTAGTAAATTTTTTATTTCAGATATTCTAATGTACTTATTTACAATCTTATTTTCTCCATCAGAAAGTAAGCTATTAAGAAGAAGAATGTGGTCATATCTTTTTTTTTTAATCTCTAGCATTTAGTGTCTAGGATATTGCCGGTGTTCTATGAATACATTTGAATTAGTATGTGAAGTATAGTGAATAAATATGAAAAAGGCTCATATCCAAATACTGTATACCATGCAAACACAGCTAGACACAGAGTATTCTCTGGGGAATTCCTATACCATTTAAAGAAACTGATACTTTTCAGTATATAAAATTAGTTCTAGAATAAATAGAAAGATTGTGAAATTCTTAATTTATTCTATAATAAATCTTATTCTATATGACAGAATAGTATAGCGGTCAGAGTGCCAACTTCTGAATGAGCCAGGCTGAGTTCAAATGCTTGCTCTGCCATTTACTAATTGTGTAGCTTTGGGGAAGTGGTCACTTTTAGGCTTAAATTTCCTCTACTAAAAATAAGAAGGTGTTGTAAGCATGAAATAACAAAGAAATTAACAGAAACCAGTTGGCATTGTTCTAGATACATAGGAAGCACTCAGTAAATCATTTATATATTACAACATTAATAAAATGATTAGGATTCCACTAGTAAGAAAACCATAGATCAACTTCATCACATGTATACAGACATAACATTCTTAAATAACATGCTATTTCATATGATTTAATAAGTAAAAAATATTTCCTTAGTACTAAATACATTTTTTCCAGAACTCGAAAATGTTTTAACATATGGGATTCTAATAATAGAACAAATTTCTTTGCTTCTGATCTTTTCTCTATATTTGGTATGATGTTGATAGCATTGTCAGATTACTTATCTTAAAATATTGTACTCATTGCTTCATTACTCTATAAGGTTTTTTCCTATTGAATTTGCATTATCTATAGAATCAAAGACTTAACTTGAATTCAAGCCCCATATCTATATTCTGGTTCTGAGCACTTATTTAAAAATTCTTCTGATTATTTCTCCATGCTAACTTTGGTCCAGAAATAAAGAGGATCACCTTTCTCTTTCAAAATGTCCTCTCCTTTCTTGCCTCTTAGCTAGTGTTATACTATTCACCTCCAAATCTGTAACTTGAACCCTTTCCTTTGGATCATTTCTCTAAATCCGAGAACAGTCAAATAACAATTATATTTTTGGCAAATTTTTCTGACTTTGCAGTTATTGTCAGTTTAATACTTTATTATTACCTAAAGGAACTTTCATGTCCTTTTCTTCCACTAGATTTCAGTCTTCTATAGGAAAAGGGTCTAGTTATTTTTGTAGTCTCTATGAGCAGTGCTTATGGTTACTGAAGAAATATTTATTGATTTTAAAACCATCTTTACAAATCATACTTTGTAAAAGTTCAGTCTTAGCTAGTAATCTTTTTCAATTAATGAGGAACCACTTGTCACTTTTTAGGGAACATAATGTGCTCTGATACAATGCATCTGTTTAAAGTTCTGTTATAAACCTAAAATTTTAACTATGTGCTATGTTCACAAGGTGAGTTTATCAAGGAGCAGATGTGTCTGTTCCACTGTTTGATGGTTGCCATAGAAACAAATGAATGGGGCTAAGTTATTAATTTGGTAATTTTAGGGTGGAGAAATGAAGACATTTAGAATGATATACTCTAAGCGATGTAAATTTAAACAGCAATTGTCAGAGAGAAAACTTAATTGAGGGAGAATAATTGCTGAAATTTTAATTGGGGGAGAGTGATATCTGTGGTCTTTCTATTTAACCAGTATAGAAAGTCTGGAGAGAGGAGAATGCTGATGAGATTGTTTTTTGATATCTACCCACCATTCTCCAGGAGTAGCTGTTTTGTGTGTGTCATATGGGACTGGGAAAGAAAAAGGAAATGAGAAAACGTTGACTATCTCTTTTTAGAAAGGATAAAACCAATATTTTTTGTAGCCACATAACACTAGAGTTCTGTATGTTACCTGACAACAGAAAGAGTAGAAAAAACTGTTCTGTTCTTAGCAAAGGATAGAACAAGCATTCAGTACAGCATCAATAATAATTGAGGATAAGTAAAATGGATGGTTAGTGTTCCATTCAGTTTCTTTTAAAATTTACTTCTTTAAAATATGCTTCACTCAGTAATGGCTATGTTTCTCTGATATAAAGAATTATTTAATGTAGATATGTATCACTTTGACCCTCTCCCAGATATCTTACATTACAGAAATGTGAATATCAGACCATAAAGATTTTAGAAGCTACCACTTATCTTGTGGCAGTATATATTAAACAAAGGCAAAGGAACTAAAAAAAAAAACAAAACGTTTTTTGAATATTGAATTTGTGAGTCTATATCTGTTAGTCATATAATCTCAGCATTCAGAAAACAGGTCAGGAAATCTATCTTATATTTAATCAAAATCTTTATATTTCAACCTTTATTACCAAGTGTGTCGGTGAAGAATGTGTCCTTCATCAGGATGGATTTACAATGCATAGATCCCTTCCAAGGCCCTGGGTGGGATCCTGGCATTGTGTCACATGGTTATATATTTTTGTTAAATTGCAAAAGTAAGTCATTTTAATTGCGGTCAGTTAAACTGCTATCACTTTGTATTCATATGCACTCTCTGCCATATTTTTCCTTAGTGATGATGGTAGAATTGCTATGGGCATTTTTGGGATTCAGCTGAAAGGAAGGTGAGTATTGGATACATTTAGTTTGTGTGTAGTGGAACATACTTTTTTTATGGTTCACAGTCACTTGTTTATGTAGTCAATTGTTGCTACATAACAGTAGAATCGTTTCCAGGAATATTCCTATACTACTCACTGGTGACTTACCTGGTGTCATGAAATAAAGATTTAGGGTCAGACATTTTAAGATGATATAAGTGTCCCATGGCACTTGCCATATAGATGGGAAATGAGAACAAATAAATGTTGAAGTGTTTGGAGCCCAAAGCTAATCTGTAGGAAAGTCTTCCATTTTTCAGACCCGTAAATTATAAGCAGGGAATTGGTTCTTACTAACATCTAGTCAAAATAGAAATTCTCCTCTATAAGAAACACTTGAAAATGAAGCATATAAAATTATTAATGCATCATGTATATTTTCCTTTTTGTTGGACTCACACAATGGAGAACTTCTTAGGATATCTGTTTTTAGATCATAAACCTGCGAGTACTAAAAATAGTGTATGTTTGTGTGAAGTCGTATATTTTTGCCCATCTTAATTTCAACAGTAAGAAACATTTTAACTGACAATGTAGAAGAAAGATTGAATTGTTTCTCTATTCTCTGTAAAACGATATTGGACCATTGTCATATAAAGAGGCAAAATGTAAGGAATAAAAAGTGTTAGAAAGTCAATAAAAACACTGTTTTTTGAATTTTTGATATTTGTGATATTTGTCAGTTTTTAATAATTTGTAATTTTTTATGATTTCTTCTTTACCATTCTATAAAAACGTTCTTAAGTGCCAGGTTTGTTTTTCTTTTTCTTAAAACTGTCCCCCAAATTACATAAGCTTAAGGTTCCACGAAATCTAGTTTTTTGCCTCTCTACTGTGTAATGATAGTTAAAACTTCTAATCAATTTAGTTTAAAAAAATCAGATGAGTCACTCAATTTTTTTTAAATGTATGAAAAAGCATAACTATTCTTCATATGCTGTAAAAGTCACTTATTTCCTATGCTGTAAAAGTCACTTATTTTTTTCTAAGAGCAATAATTCTAGTTCCTTTAAGCTTTCATTATATATTATATTATGTACACCGTCCTGGTCCAGTAGAACTTTCTGTGATGATAGAAATGCTTTATATACATGCTGTAGCTATTGAGGCTTGATATGTGGCTGAGGAATTGAAATATTAATTTTATTTCATTTTAATTAATTTGCATTTATATTCAACATAAACACATGTGGCTAGTAGCGCCCATATTGGACAACATAGTTTACACTCTTAATCAACTTTGGGATTAACTCGTCTTATCTGCATCTCTGTCTAGTCATTAAATATTAGATTTCTATGTCTTTATACAGCAAAGTCCTAACTCATGACTAACCTAATATATGTTATTCAGAAGGTTGTTTTTTATTTTTGAATAATTTCTCAAATTAAATATTCTTATATTCTGATGGTGCTGTGGGCATTTTTATAGACAGGTCCTTGTTTATTATGTTTATTGTTGGCCGATGCTGGAAAGCTTAGAAAGATTTATGGAAATTCCCCTTTCAAACATGCTTTTCAATATGGTAAAGCAGTAAGTCATAGAATGCTTTATTTGGGGTAAAAGATGCATAGAATGCAATTAATAATGCATTCTTCTTATTTAAAAAAGAATTATGCTTACTAGAATGAGCTTAAAAAAAGTTTGACATATTCACCTAATGGAGACTTTCTGCTACATCAGAATTAATTTAACAGCTACAGCTAGATATTCTACATGCTCTACAAGTTTAGAGTGATACCCAAGGCAGATGGAGACATGACCTGTCCCCTGGAAGATGATTGTTTACACCCAAGAGCAATTCCTGGAATGTAACAGGAAGCCACATGTGACCACATAGCTGAGCTGGATATTTCTCCAGGCTTCCTGTTGGAGGAATGACTGTTTTTCATTCCCTGCCAGGCACAGAAGAAAATCACTCTGAAACCATACAGAAGAAAATACTTATTTAAAACAAATATGACTTTCTCATGTATATGATTTTTTTTACAGAATAATCTCCAGAAAACTATTACAACAACAGGAATTGGAAACCTGAACAAAACTTCAGAGAAATCAAGAGCAGTCTCGACATTGAAGTCCAGTATACTGCGAAATTACACCGAAATTCAATATTAGCATTGAAATGATTTCTCAGTCTTTAGGACCACGAAAATTTATAGAAGTCTATAAATTTGATTCAACACATATTTCATTGTTACCTTTTCTCTATTTTCATAATATTCTTATGTTTTTGTCTATTGTTTTCATGCCACATTGAAAGAATACAATGATTTTTCTCAAATATAGTACTTTGTGTGTATATAATGCTAGATATAGGGATAAAATTGAAATAGTGAGTCTACCATCTATTCTGTTTACTGTGTCCTTAAGGCAAGTGGATAATATTTTTTTTTTTTCATTTTTTTTATTTAGCATGAACCTTAGTGCCAAGCGCACACAAATTCAGTTTACTTAAAAACAGAAGCATGATATCACAGAGTAATAAAAGCTTTTTTGGAGGCCAATGTTATTTCATCTTATGTTTTGATTTTATTCTCAGAGTGTGAGCATTTGCTAATCTTTGTGGTAAGATTATTAGTTTATGTGGAAATACAATCACTTTCATCAAACGTATGTATCCATATAAGTAAAAATCCTCAAAACCCCAATGTCCATCAATATATCAACATATATCAATTGTGTAGAAACAATTGTGGTATATTTATGCAAAGAAATACTACATACACTAAAGGAATGCACACCACAACATGAATAAATCTTGAAATAATTTTGCTGAGTGAAAGAAGCCAGGAAAAAAACCATGTGTACTATTTATATAAATTTATAAATATATTTTTATTTGTAAATATAAACATACAAAGCTGATGCAAATTTCTAGAAAATACATCCTACTTTTTAGTGGCAGAAAGTAATCAGTTATTGCCTGAACCTGGGATAGGATGGAATTAGGGGTGTGTGAAAGGACTGCAAAAGCACCAGGAAACTTTTGGTGGTCTCGTACATGTTAATTATCTTGCTTGTGGTGATAGTTTCACAGCTGTACATATCTTATCACAGTGTATACTTCAAATAAATGAAGTTTATTTTATGTCAGTTTTACTTTAACAGGGCTATTTAAAACTTTTTTTAAAAATTAAAAAAGGGTGCTCTAAAATTTTTTACTACTCAAAAATAAAGCCCTATGTCCAGTAATTTTCACGGTCTCTTAAACGAGACTAGGTGAGGTCCTAGTAAGTGCTGCAAAAAAAAAAAAAAGGAGATATCTCAAAGAAGAAAACTGGTTTCCAAATGAGTGATAATAAAACCAGGGGAAAAAAGCAAATCAGATGATATCACCTCCCTGTATCTGTGAATGGCGCCTCCTGGACTTACTTTCTCCTTTGCTCTTTTGTCCAATGAGTTGCAATTTCTTTTTTATTCTATGTTAGATATATTCTAAATGCATCTTATTTCTTTCCAGTTTTTTCTGATTTGTCATTCACTGCTTTGGTCAGATTCTCGTGATTTCCCGTCTACAAGTACAGTCATGTGCAGCATCCTTATGTGATTCCATTATTTTGCAAACATCCTAGAGTGCACTTACACAAACCTAGATGGTATAACCTACTGTTTTAATAGTATGTACTGTACTTTTATACAACTGGCAGCGCAGTGGGATTATTTACACCAGCATCAGCACAAATTGTGAGTAAATGCAGGGCTCTACTATAACTGGGTGCCTAGGAAGGTGTTTGTGGAGGGAGTGCCTTTTGGCCTGTGGGCTGCTAGCTCTTCCTGGACGGCCTCTGGGTACAGAAGCTAAGGGGCAGGTGGAGACACAGACAGAGGAGGAGGAGGAGGTCGGGAGGGAGGGAGGGAAGGAAGAACAAAGGTGAGTCTCACCGGAAAGTCAGGTAGGACAGGCTGGGCCACCTCGCAGACACTTCAGGCCAGCACTATGACGTTAAGATGGCTACTAGGTCACTAGGCAATAAGAATTTGTCAGCTCCATTATAATCTATGGGACCACTGTTGTATATGTGGTCTGTCATTGACTGAATATCATTGTGGTTCATGGCTGTACTTTCTAAGTAGTCTCCCTGCTTCTAGTCTTTCCTTCCAATTTATCCTCCATGTAATTAAGGGGAGCAGTTACCTGTAGGGGCCAGGGAAAGAAGTGCCTCCCAATAGCAAGCAGGAGAGAGAGAGAGAGAGAGAGAGTTCTAGCTGTAGGAGGCCAAGTGACAAGAGCTGTGGCCATTGGTCATGGAACAAAGTCATTGCTGAGCCATGGCTTGAGGGGAAACAGGAAAATAAATACTGACCTCATATTCCCCTCCCCACTTCAGTCTCCTGCCCATGACTTCTATTGGTCAAAGCCAAAGTGAGAGCCAGGGAGCTCAGTTAATGTAGTCCATAAATGTCGGCCTTCCAGGGTGGAAAGGGAAGGAATGGGTCTGGAGAGGCAAACAGAGAATATATTAGTACATCTTTCTAAAACATAAACTTGATCACATTATTCCCTTAAATAGCTTTGTGTTCTGGAGCTAAGGGAAGACCTTGGTTCCTATCTTCAAAATTGAACAGCAATACTTTGTTCATATCACTAACATTTATTTGTAGGAAAATTATTTGCTGAATTAAACAAATGATAGCTATAATTTATTACAGCCTACCATGTAAGAGGAACTATCCTAAGAGACTGCATGTATGTATATATAATATATATACCCACATATATATAAAATCTCATTTAATCCTCTTAGAAGCTCTGAGAAAATGATGTTATTTTTATTACTTTACTAATAAGAAAGCTTATCTGTCTTTACAATAGTATCCCATTATACATGCATTGTCAATAATCTTATGTGAATTCACTACTTCTTGTAGGGAGGAAGGTAGGAAGCAAAATGACAATTTAAATAACATGAATGATTCTACCTGCTAGTGCACATTTAACACTAGTGGGAACCTAGATTTTATTTATTTTATACAACATGATCCTTAAACACATACCAACTAATTTATCTAGTACTTAAAGAAAGAACCATTGCAGAAAGAAAACAAGCAATTATGATTTATTAAGAGATGGCATGTTGTTTTCCAATGTGGCTCAAATCTCGAAGGAATTCCAAAAGTAATTTTTGTATACCTTATTTTCATCTTATTCACTGATTTTAAAAACTAACCCTTTGATAAGATGATTCTGCTCTTAAGAATTAGAGCGTAGATTAAAACACAGGCTGGTTATAAAAGCCTGACTTACGAACGCCTTGCTTTTTAGCATTATTGTGGATAGCCTCAGTAAATAAAAGGATAAAAGCTGTCAACTTTTTCTTTCTCCTTGCAGAATTGGGAGCTTGAGGCTATTTCCCTTTTCCTCAGTTTGCTGTTATATAATATTTTTTCATGCCTGCAATTTGAAAGGCAATGGATATTTTATACATCTTGCCACTTTTTTATTAGCATGGCTTTTATGAAAAGGCAAACTTTAAAGTAGTATTCATATTTTAGTGTGTAGAAAATGTCAAATTTTCTATTGAATATAAAAAGTTTATTTCCACAACTTATAAAATATATGTCAGAATCTTTTTTGATGTTTTCAAGACTAGTGAAAATTGTTTTCTCTTGCTGTTAGTGTTCTTTGTCTAAACGGTGTGTAGAATACTTAGTGCTCATAATCTAACATTGTTGGAGATCCAAATATATTCATTTTTATAACAGACATCACTTTTTTCAAAGAAACTTTTAATAAATAATGTAGTCTAGTTACAGTAATCATATTTTTCTCTTTGAGTCCACATACCTGCTTAAAAATTCTTTCTAATTCATAAGGCAAATAATAGATATGCAATAAATGTCTGTTAAATGAATGAATGAATTTTTTAAATGACAGCTACCAAGATTTATTTTGAATTTACATTAATTTTATTTATAGCTGACTTAGAAAAAACTATATTGTTTATATCAAGAGATGATATAAACTCCTAATATATGGAGTTATATTTATTATATCTCATACCTTGAAATAAAGGCACTCATTTTAAACAGAAAACAACAACAACAACGATAGTAGCAACAACAAAAAAATCGATGGCAGAAAGCACGAATTGGGCTGAATCAGTAGCAGTAGTGTTGTGTTTGGTGTGCATAATATATTTTTTAAAAGTTTTTGAGTTAACATTTTAAAGTCAGATTATTTGACATAAAAATTGGGATTTCTGTTTTCTTAAAATATGAGGACAAGCCAACACTGCCTCCATTCCCAAAGACAACAGGAGTCTTAGCACCCATTAGATCTGGCCTTTGGTGCTCTCTGGTTCCAGGGTCCCCTTCCCTCATGCAATGCCTGTATGTTCACTTACAACCGGCCTGATTCATCATTTATACCAGTTGCTCTGGGCCTGCGGGTACATGAAAGGAGTACTCACACTGCATGGTTTTAAGAGAAGCAGTTTCTAGGTTCTCGAGTTCTGATATTCTTTCCTAAAATTAGTCTTCCTGAGAACCTGCCTGAGTTCTTCCACTCTACAAAAGAACGGTATGCCTTGTCCTAAATCTAACTGCGGTGTAATGCTCTGGAGTATGAAATCTAGGGGGCTTTAAACAAAATGTAAACCTCTTGTAATGATTCACCAAAGCACTATAAACCTCAGGAGCTGCCTCCTGTCTGTCTTATGTATATTTGGGCTCCCAGAGAAGCCTGGCATTAGAAATGGAATTAATTCATGATGCTTGGAATTCAGATAAATTCTAGAATACAGTGGTGAGAGTAATAACAATTTATATTTCACTTACTTGTTTGCTAATTAAGTAATTTAATTTATTGGGCAAACACATGGCTCTTAAGGGAAAATCTTTTGAGTATGCAACTAAGGTGCATGTATAAGAAAAACAGAACTCTTTTTTAAAAAAAGCTTTTTATTTAGAGTTTTGGATTTAAATGTAAAGTTATTTTTAATCATTCTTAATTCTCATCTTATTTCATATTGGTACCTGGGTCTGACTTCGCCAATACATATCCTTTTCTTCTGTAAATAAACAGAAAAAAATTTAATCATGAAGTCCAGTAAAATTAATGGCTTGAGTCTGATTTTGACAGTTGATTTTTACTTTTAATTATTCTCCAAAACTGAACAGCAGAATTCAGTGTGTGCAT